GTTTCCATACACACTAAAGATAACATATTTAGCTTTTTATGCCAGATGTTGCAATTTCAATGTGTAAATAATCTCAACTTAAGTATTAAAATATTAATAAAAATAAAAATATGAAAAAATAAATAAATAAATAAAGCAGAGCTGCGGTAATGTCATCTTGCGTCGGTAAGGACACAATGTTAAAGTGCCATGAAATCAAAAACAGTTTACTGTAGAGAACAACAGTATAAAAGAAACAGAAAACATATAGAATGAATATTTGTAATTTAATATACAGTAAACTTTGAACTTGTCTCTACCGCAACACAAGGTCTTTACTGCAACACCTAAATTTACTGCGGTAAAGACATGTTGGGGAAATTACATTTTTGCTAATATTGCAGCTAACTGGCAGCTAGCAAGGTCTACTACATTAGTTTTGACTCTTAGCATCTTAATATACATGAATTAAACCGTAATATGCATTTATTTTTTACATTTAGTTAAAAATACAGAATTACTAAGCTTTATGGTAAGGACACACAATAAATACTGACACAGAAAAGATGATATTTACCTTATATTTTTGGGATCTTGTGAGGTGGCCCAATCTGTCAACAATGTGCTCACTGCTAATTTCTGTTTCCATAGAAACTAGACTTGTTTGTCTTTGATAAAATGTCATAATAAAAGCCTTTTTTCATTGTTGCTCAAAAGTGTGGGACAGGCACATTTAGTTGAAAAAATAATAAAATGATCAGTAAATAATACAAACAAATGTATAAGATGTTTAAAGGCACAATATGTAAGATTTTTTTATTAAAATTTCCAAAAACCACTAGAACAGTGTTATATATTTTGCTGACTTGTGTACTTACATTATCCCAAATGTTTCGAAGAATGCTTAAATCCAGAGAAATAAGCAATTTTAACTAGTGACACGGACCGTGTCCATAGTGTCATTGTGTCGCCTGCCAATGACGTCATAACCCCTTGATTTCCGGTTTTGTTTTGTAGAAAACATGGAAACACCAAAGACGCTTTAATATGTTGTGCGTTTTATTAGACCAATGACGACCGCACAGAGTAGCATTATAACAGAACTTTCAAATGTATCTAGTATGATAAAACAGCGCTGCTTTTTTTCCCACATACGCACGACCGGAAGGAGCGGAAGCAGTCGACGGACATCGTGGTGAATGCTGGTGTGTGAATCCACACACAGGAAGACCCATCCTCAACTCTCCACTGATAAGGGGTGATCCCAACTGCAGCCAGTACCTTGATGCCCTAGAGATGGATCCCTCTGTGGAGCCTGAAAACTAATGATGTCCTGAACCTTCTCATCCCTCCCCATCTTGACCTTCAAGCCTACAATCTCACACCCATGCCCCTAAAGGAGTCAGTGTTTTACACTCTCTAAACAAGCTACCTATACAACTTGTGTGTTTATACATGTTTGCGCTTCTAGGTTTGAGATGGTTTGAAACAGTATTGTTACAGTAAAAGTACTGATATAACTGAGCTTATAGTACTCATTAAATCCAAGCTAAGTGATGACATATGACCAGAGGACTGATATTAGCAGGCTTGTACTACTACTTTTCTGTAGGAAAATGTCTAGAATTGTAAACTTATCTTTAATACTTTCACATGTATCTAGTGCTAATCATGATATATACATTGTATTTCTCTCATGATGTTACTGGTGCTATTTGTTTCAATACACTTCTTTTATAGGTTGCCCCCTCTCATATTGTGCAGGAAATTATATGGTAATGGTTTTTATTGGATAGGACAGTGTTCCTAACACTCAGTGTGACAAACACTGAAGCACTACACTGTAAGTCGATGAGCTAGTGCCTTATACCTTGAATGATTTACAGAAATAAATTATATTGGACTGCTTATGAGGTCTTAAAATCTTTTGGTTTAAAAAAACAAAAAAACAAAATAATAATAATAATGTATGCTAACAAAAGTTGTTCATTTAATCTTCTGTTAAAGGTACAATATGTAAGATTTTTTTATTAAAATATCCAAAAACCACTAGAACAGTGTTATATATTTTGCTACTTACATTACTTACATTATCCCAAATGTTTCGAAGAATGCTTAAATCCAGAGAAATAAGCAATTTTAACGGACCGTGTCGACCGTGTCCATAGTGTCATTGTGTCGCCTGCCAATGACGTCATACACTCGATTTCCGGTTTTGTTTTGTAGAAAACATGGAAACACCAAAGACGCTTTAATATGTTGTGCGTTTTATTAGACCGGTGACGACCGCAAAGAGTAGCATTATAACAGAACTTTCAAATGTATCTAGTATGATAAAACAGTGCTGCTTTTTTTCTCCTCATACGCAACTTTCAACTTTCAAATGTATCTAGTATGATAAAACAGCGCTGCTTTTTTTCCCACATACGCACGACCGCGGAAGCAGGAGCGGTCGACTGTGGCATAATAAAAGCTACGTTAATAAATCATTAGCTCATCCATGAACATGATTTCTGCCCGAGTCCCGTCAGATTGCATCGGCTGTGGGGATGAAGACCACAACTCCCATGACTCCACACTCAGTCACAGCGTCATCAAACTATGCCTTTGTCTATTTATTTATTTTGAATACGCGCCCTCTAGCGGCGAAAATTACATATTGTGCCTTTAAGATGCTGTAAATTAATATGTATATTAAACAATTCTATTTGAAATAATGTCAAATTGTAATTCAATTAAGATTATTTTATGTATCTCAACATTGTGACCAGAGTTGTGGGCCATGAACAAAAATGGTGTTTGGACCTATAAATGCTTCATAATTTTATATTAAATCACATTAATCATTAATTATATTTTCTGTCAAGGTGTGTAATGACACTGTGAATATATTTATAAAGCAACATATGACACATTTTAATATAAATCTAAAATTTCCCTGCTGGGACTTAAAAGTGCTCGTAGTTGCAGAAACACCCATATGTGACCCTGGAGCACAAAACCAGTCTTAAAGGGATAGTTCACCCAAAAATGAAAATGTGATGTTTATCTGCTTACCCCCAGGGCATCCAAGATGTAGGTGACTTTGTTTCTTCAGTAGAACACAAACGGAGATTTTTAACTCAAACCGTTGCAAATCTGTCAGTCCTATAATGTCAGTGGATGGAATCACGGCTTTGAGAGTCATAAAACATACACAAACAAAACCAAATTAAACCCTCTCAACACTCCCAATTGAGATTGTAGATAGAGTGTCAATGGTCCATTTGAGAGATAGGTGGCAGTAATGCACTTATAAGTCTGCGATCCGCCGTAAAGCAAGAAGAAGAAGAAGACGCGTCACGCGCCGGCTGTCGAGGACGCGCTCAGGACA